ATTTTAAATTTGAATTAAGATATTATATAAGCAAGTACCTACTTTAATAGATGACGTAAATTTTCCAACGTGTTGAACAGGTTTAAATTTAATTTATCGTCATGTTACATCGATGGTGATAGCTCATCAATTGAAAGTATATACATTCCATAGCCATACGTCAGAATTTTATTTTAGCTTTGCTTTTCCTATATATAATTTAATTGTTGCACGGAGAAAATAAAATCTCAAGGATTCCAGCATATCAGGTTCATCTGACCTGAGATAAGTGTCTGCATTCGTGTATCACCCTGTAAGAGACTATGTCGTTTCCGGGTGCCTAAGTAACGTTAAGAAGAAGGAAGTAGCGTGAAGAATATGGTAATGAGACATAAGACCTGATTTCATAATGATTCTCATATCGCACAGGATGCATGCGCGTACAACTATTTTTAAATAGGAGTCAATATTAATTAAATTGATTGCCACCGCCATATCCATCGATTATGAACTTGGTTAACGTTCAACCTGGTTAATGAAATTCTGCGCAACATGTGCAGTCTTTGAGCGAAAAATTATTCGATAATCTGATATATACCGCGTTACATTCTGAGAAAGACTCAAATTATACACAATTAACTACATTTAATAAAATATTTTGTGATATAATATTGTGAACAGTCGACGAAAGTGTAAAATCGATGCGTAAAAAAGATATGAATGCGAATTGAAGCATTATCATTCGTGTTCACAATTTAGAGGTAATAGTTTTCCGTCAGCCTTGAAAAGTAAAATTCAGAGTGATTTCTTAGGATAAGATCCGACAGTAATACCAGTGGGTTAGATTCACGCTTGACCTGGGTTGAGCGGATACATGTAACCATGTATCAAGCGGCAAGAACGCAGCTACTTCCGGATGCTTGTGCAATGTCGGGAACAGGGAAGTAAGACGAAAGAAATGATAATTATCGACGTCTAACAGAATTGATAGCCGCAGTGAAACGGAGTCAGTTAGGATAAATCGTTATGAATGGCTTTGTTTGTGTTTTTCGAGAAATAGTGATTCATCTTTATTTAGGAAGAAGAATATAAAGTCACTTCAATTTGTGATTAACAAATGGCTGTTACTAGTCATTTGTCTTTATACGTATTAAAGAAAGCAACAAAGACACTTTGTATACACTATGCTACTTAATGAAATTCAGTCTGCAAAGATCTGGAAACAGTAAGCAGATGAATAGAAAGGCCTGTTAGAGTATAAATATAAAATCCATCTAATATTTATTTCTTTCTTTTCAACGCCTCTTTTCGAACTACTTCTTGCATACAGAAAGTACTGCAGTAGATGCAACGTTTTGTTTTGAAATTATATTGTGCATAACAAAGGATTAATTTATGCACAATCTATCTAGCAAAGCGGGCTGTATGATCTTACGTAAAACAGAACTGTAATTCCGTGAGAGAAACGGATGATCAAAAAAGGAATGTAAAACGTATATAATGCCTATAATATCCATGTGAACGCGGTTTTGTATTACGATACCTCTCTAAACAGCATACGAGATTGTGGTCGCATGTCTATTACGTAATATTTTTCCAGCGGGAAAATTGTCTACCGGAAAACTTGTCACGATTGTAATCCAGTTCCTGTTTTTCATGTTTTTTTCTTTAATATACAGAGAACCAGGTTAATGAAATGCACAGAGGAGATACATTTTATGTGTAATATATTCAATCGTATTGAAAAATTTACATATAATATATAAAGACATAAAACAAAAAAGGAAAACTATAATAATAAGAATCTCTCGATTTATTGTCAATTTTTTTGAATTACTACTGCACGTATATCTAAACATTAATGCTCCTCTATCGAGTGAAATCGAAGACACGCATGAGAGGTTGTCAGTTGATCATGCCTAAGTCACTTAATATTGTGTTACACTATAATTACAGATTTTAAACGAAAGTTACATCTTGCGATGTAAATTACGCAATATATAAGCTATATATATTACCTATCTCTGATTTATATTTACTCGCTGCTATCATAACATCTAGCAAGGACCGTGACGTCGATGTAGATTGTATCAAACGCTAATTTATTTTTAAAACACTGAATTTCTGTTTTAAAACTGATAATTTATTTTCAGAATACGTTACAACTTTCCCTAACTTTGTTTCATTTTGTCCTAAATCAGAGTAAGATGTACTAATACGAATTTTTATATTTTACTCATAAACAGCCTAAAATTATACCTTTTTGCAAATAATACATAAATCTAAATAGCTGTTGCGTGCATGTCATATGCATTAAAAGAAATAAACATATATATATATATATATATATATATATATATGTTATAAATAAAGAAACATATGTATACACTTCTAAAAATTGGTACAACTGTCCTCAGTCTCCTCTGCATGAAAAATAAAGATTTTAAATGCTCGAGTTAAAGGAAATATGTATGTACAAGATAAAACTAAATCTTTTGATAAATATGTAAATATACTTTTACAATAAAGGGAATAGGAACAAAATTATCGAGGAATCTTGTGTGAAATATATATAGATATTATTGAATGATCATCAGAGCAAAATGTGTAAAATAAGAATGACCGATATGTCGCATTCTGCCGTAGGCAACTAATTAAACGGACTTAAAAAGTTGTCGGAGCAACATCGTCGTTAAGTGGGACGAGGTGTCGCCCTGCAGTCGGCGACGGTACGACCTACAAGAATATTAATTGTTTCATATTTATTTAATAAAATTCTTGTGGCTAATTATAAAATTTTTGTCAATTAGGATGCATCAATAGTATTCAATATTAGGAAAATGATTTAATCATAACAAATTCGATCTTGTTCAGCGTTCGAATCGAATTCAAAATCATCGAAGATATGCTTATACCGTTCTCTTTTAACTTTAATTTGTATTTCATGCATACGATTAACACAGATTATAATTATATTATCACAGAAAATACGACAGACTAACAAAAATATTTTCGATAATATTTAACGTAATTATTCGGAGTATGTAAATAACTCATTTTTGTCATAAAGAAAAAAGTTGATATTAAAATTTGCATGATGAAAATTGCTTTTACAATGAAAAATAAGTATATACGAAAAATGGAAATGGGACATCAGAAATAAGCGATGAAACCCTCCTTGCATGGACAGCTGCAATTACACTCTCTTACAGTTAAGGTCAATAGAAAAAGGCGCGCGAGGGTCTTGTCGATCTAGTTTGCTGTGTTAGATCTGCTAGCGAATAGATCTATCCAGTCGCTCTCGAAGAGCAGATGCATCTATAGTAATAGCCAAGCCTACGCCCATCTTACATGGAATTATATACCGTTACATTATTTATACCGTGCTTATGTATTTTGCCCCACGCATAACCGCTACTTATACCGCCAACAATCACTTTTTTTAAGTTCTAAACTTAACTCATATACTAGTGAAATTGTTTGTATACTTTCTAGTCGCATGTATGCGGAAAATGACATTATAAAAGATTTTTGGTAAAAAAAAAATAAAATAATTATATAATCAGAGAGAATTCTGAGAGTGGTAATTCCAGCTTTTTTCGTGGTATCATCAAAACTGATTAAAATCCCACACATCAGCATACGAACGTTCATTTTAGCGGTATGGAAACTGCGTTCGGTTTGGACGCTCACGTGCGGCCACATTGAATTGTGACGTCATAAATTGAGAAATGACACGTTGAAATTTCTTGCATGGTATTTGTAAATAAAGAGAGAGAATTTGGATAAAACAAAATAATATAAAATCGCTTCCAAACAATTTAAGGTTAAAATCATTTATCTTTATTCCTAATTCCTTATTCCTGCTCATGGTGAAATAGTTTTTAGAGCCTAAAGTTGCTGCTAGCAATCCATGTTGTAAGTACTTTGATATCTTAGAACATAATAATATACTAAAAGAGGAATGGAGCGCTGAACGTGAAATCAACATCTCTTTTAATTTTAGAATTGGAAAGAGATAATGAATAAGTTAAACCTCGGTTAAAAGTTAACTGAGTGAGTTGTGAAATTATGAACTTCAATTCGCCTTCGTGCTATCTGGGGATCGATTCTGTATCTTGAAATGAGATGAAAATTATAAAAGTGAGCGAATTTATTAGAATACTAATTATTTCATTATTCAACACCTAGTAAATTTGCTCGCTTTTGTAATTTTCACCTTGTTTGAAGATACAGAATCGACCTCCTGGGTAGTTAGAAGCTCCGCACAATAAAAGGAACAGAAGCCCTATTTTTGAAAAGTATCACATACGAAAAATTAGGGAAATACTAAAGTATGTAACGCATACTATAGTATTTCCCTAGTTTTCTTTTTCCTAGACTTCTTGCATAATGCATAACACATGAGACAAGAAAATTAACCAATCAAAGCTTTATTCCCTTCCTTTCCGTAAAATAAAGGATTCTGATTGGTTGATTTTCTTATGTCTCATGTTTTATGCGTTATATAAGAGTCTGTGCTCCCCGCTTAAGAATTTCAACTTAAGAAACTCCACAATACATGATATTTCTGGTAGGTTAAAATTCTTATTCTCTATTCTCTGTTCTTTTTTTTGTGCACAGTCCCTTAGAGAATGAGTAAATGCTATGGTAGAAACATTTTAGAGCATACCAGTTACGTCGGAATACACGGTTTGAGGTTGAAATCTCAATATCTATTCCTGTTCCTAATATTGAGTCATCTAAAAAGTATCCGCGGTTTTTTGTCACTAGATGTGTTGATGGTCATATATCTAGTGACAAAGTACCGCGGATACTTTTTAGATGACCCAATATTTTCTTTATTGTGCGCTGGGCCTTAGAACATAAACCTTGTGCTACGGCTTTAAGTCAAGTCCTATTTCTGCGCCATCTGGGTAAAAATAGACAGAGTTTCAGGAACTATATAACCTTCTGCTCGATCGGTATTGTCAACATGATTACTGTTCAGTTCTCAAGCATTTTGGACTATTCTGGACTATCCTAAAATCTTGCTGATTCCAGAAGCAGCGTGAAGCGTCAAAAATATCAGAACGTGATTGGAACGTGATCAAATGTGGTTTCTGGTGGTTGCGTAAATAAAGTGGTGATTCTTTGAGTCTTACAAATAATAACGCTCAAACAAAACACTGTTAATCCACTATATATTCGCGAGTCTGTCGTTTGCTGTCCACGGATACATACATCAGACGGATTGCTTGGTCGGGCCAATCGGTCCGAGTACTGCGTCATTTATTTTAGTCAGGTGTGTCCACGTTTATTCCGGTAACGAATATTAAAAAGGAAGAGAAGTATTATTTTATTGTTTAAAGTATATGGTAGTCAGAGTTGTCCGAGGTCGGTGTTTTTTGGCTTGAAATTGAGAAATGTATTGATATTTACATCTGTCACCGTTCCTTACTCCTTCATTGCTGTTTTGTCGTAGCGTGCGACTTTCGGGCTCAAAGGACGACCCTAGTTTGAAATCGTTAAAAGTTTTTGACCTGTGTCTTTCACTATGTTTAAAAGTATTTTGTTATACATACTTTTATAGTTAAATATATTACTATTGTTCGTTTTGTCTCTCGTCTTGTCTTTGAACTGCTCGGAGTCGCTCCGAATAAATCCAGCGTACTTGAAATACAGGATTCATACGACATCCGTCATACGACATCTGACCTTCATTGATACGATGAATGTCTGACGTCATATGACGGATGTCGTACATATTGTGAATCCTATATTTCAAGTACGCTGGATTCATTCGAAGCGATTCCGAGCAGCTCCCGAGAGATAAAACGAACAATGTTATTATGAATAATATTAACTTTTGAACATAATAAAGACACAGGTCAAAAACTTGGTAATTATTCAGTTTAGCTACTCCACCCCAAAAATCAATAAAATTAGTCGGTAATTATTCAGTTTAGCTATCCCGCCTAAAAAATCAATAAAATTAGGCTTATTCGACGCGTTTTTGCATGAAATGAAAGAATCTGACAAAGAAAAGCGTCGCTCTACCTGTGAGCCGAGATATTAAGCGTAAAAGTTAATAACTATTGAGATTAGGAAATCTGTCACAGAGACAAAATGAGAGTAATTTTTCAGAATTACCTCCGAGCTCTTCAAAACTATCTCCGATTTCGATGAAATTCGGCTCATTCGGCGCGTTTTTGCATAAAATGAAAGAATCTGACAGAAAAATATCCAAGACTGCTCTGCGAAGCGAGATATTAAGCGTTAAAGTTGACGAAAGTATTAGGGGCTCTGCACAATAAAAGGAACAGAGAACAGAGAATAAGAATTTCAACCTATCAGAAACTGTGTATTCCACAATACATGATTTCTGATAGGTTGAAATTTTTATTCTCTGTTCCCTGTTCCTTTTATCGCGGAGTCTCTAACATAGCATTACCTTAAAGGGCTTCACACATGAAATACATAACAGAGCATAAGCATAATATAAGACTGCTGGACCAATGAGCATCTAGCATAATGTCGCCATATTGATTTACATAAAATGTTCATTGGTTTAGCGGCTTTATATTATGCAATTTTATGTGTGAAGCCCTTTAGTCAACTCTAAACGCTCAATATCTCGTGTGAGGTCACAGAACACGAAAAAGATGATCGCAAATATTTCGCGGCAGTGACAGATTTCCTAACCTCAATAGCTCAATTTTAACGCTTAATATTTCGGCTGTCACAGGCCAGAGCGATGCTTTTCTTTGTCAGATTCTTTCGTTTCATACAAAAACGCGTCGAATAATCCTAATTTTATTGATTTTTGAGGTGGGATAGCTAAATTGAATAATTTTACCATAGAATTTTATAATATTAATAACAGAATACTCTTTTTTTTAAAGTATAGTGAAAGACACAGGTCAAAAACTTTTAACGATTTCGGATTAGGGTCGTCCATGAGACCGAGCATCGCGCGCTACGACAAAAAAACAACATTAAAGTGAAGAATAGGAACAACAATGGGCATTGGATACCGATATATTTCAATTTCAAACTAAAAAATATCTTGGTCAGCTCTGATTTAAATATATGTATGTATGTACGTATTGATTGTATTATTCGTTTCACGCATAATGCGCATAATGTATCGTTTTAGCTTTCTTTAATATTTGGTGAACAACAAGGATAAAATATACATAAAGATGACCCTATATGGTTAATAATACTGATCACTGATCAGTAATACTGATATTCATCGATGTACAGCATAAATATTTTTAGTATTTTTACTATCTTACACGATCAGTATTATTAACAATATATTTCACTTTAGTTTTAAATTAGCTATTACACTATGACATGGATCCTGATAAATCACCGTTAGATTCTATGCCAATCCATCAATATTAACCACACACGGTCAGTAATATTATCAGTATTCGTTAATACTAACAGTATTAGTGACTGTGTTGGGTCACTTGAATATAATGCATTATGTATGAAACAGAATGCATTTTTTGAATGTTAAACATTTGTATAACAAAATTTTTTTTCAGCATTGAAATTTTAAAATAAAATGGTCAAAATAACAAGTGGAACTTGGAAATGTGTCATCCCACATTGTAAATCTCGAGCTAGAGCTCCTGGTCATTATTTTCCAAAAGATACAGTATTAAGGAAAAAATGGATAAAAGCAATATCTATGTCACATGTACCTGACGAAAAAATTAAAAAATGTAGAATTTGCCATTTACATTTTGACGAAAATTCATATGTTATTAATTTACAACGTAGACGTTTGAAAATTGATGCTATTCCAAATCAGAATTTGCCAATTAGACATGAAACAGATGATTCTGAGTCTGATGCAAGTGTAATTCTAGAAGAAGAAGAAGAAGAAGAAGAAGAAGAAGAAGAAGAAGAAGAAATGGACGACCCACAATATGATGAAGTGACTGAAACAGTTGCATCCCAATCTTTTCTTGATGCTTATAAATCTTATGTAAAGACAGTTGTAGAAGAAAAAGATATTTTGGGAAACAATGTAGATATTGAAGAACAGATAGGACAAGAAACACAGCCATGTAATAATGTAAATATTGAAGAAGGGACACAACAAGAAACACAGCCAGAGATTGTAAGGACAGTTGAAGAAGAAAAAGCTATTTTGGAAAACAATGTAGATATTGAAGAAGAGACACAACAAGAAACACAGCCAGAGATTGTAAGGACAGTTGAAGAAGAAAAAGCTATTTTGAAAAATGTAAATATTGAAGAAGGAACACAACAAGAAACGCAGCCAGAGATTGTAAAGACAGTTGAAGAAGAAAAAGTTATTTTGGAAAACAATGTAGATATTGAAGAAGGGACACAACAAGAAACACAGCCATGTAACAATGTAAATATTGAAGAAGGGACACAACAAGAAACACAACCAGAGATTGTAAGGACTCCAAACAGAAGTTTTCATTCTACAAACCATGTTCATAGAAATATACTTGTTACTTGAAAGGCTAACTTGACTCCAGTAACAAGAAAAATATATATTAAAAGCAGATTATTTAAAAAACAAAAAATATTTTACGCAAGAATATTAATTATAAACAACGATTAAAGGACGCTAAAAAAAATTACTAGTTTCTGTTCGGAAAAATTATTCAGCATTGAGAAATGCACAAAAAATTTTCTTACATATGCAAATGAAGAATGTGACTAAAAAACGAAAGGTACATTCTTCTACATTTTGTACAAAGATAAAATCGGCATTAAAAAATACATCTAAAGATAAACATGTTTTGATATATTTACAAAATTTAGGTATTGAGTCTTCTTAATCTTTTAAAAATTAAAATAATTTGAAACAATTATGAATATTATACATTATAAATATTAAAAAATACTATAAAAATACTTCTTTTTGATTAATTATTATTATAGTAGTGTTATGATTATTTCATTAATTATAACCATAATTATGATCATTAAATTTTTTTACATTTCTAATTTTTTATGAACTTGAAATAGATACATTTTAAATTGGTATATATATATATAAAGAACATCTTGGAGTGTTCCCGAGACTATAAAAAAATCCTACGAATGCGTCCTAAAACGAAAACGAACCAGTTTTTTGCTATGTGGGAAATATAACAGGGTGACGAGCGAATTTTGAATTCTGAAAAACCGGAAAAAATCTTGTATTTTTAAATATTGGATCGCTGACTACCATATATAAGCATTTTATAATCTTAGTAATTTTAAGTCTCCCTCTCTCTTTCTTCCTCTCTCTCTTCCTCTTTCTCTCTAATTTTTTGGCATTGCCTTTACAGAACAAGTAATAATAGTGTAGTAATATAATTCAGTAATAATATAACTAGTTATATTTCTATTTTGTTTCTGAATGAATAAATTACAAATTAAAATTTACAGTGGATGTAATGGTATAGAATTTCAGTATTAGTTTTACTGATTTCAGTAAATATTGGAGAGAGAGAGGAGGGGGGGGGAATGCAGACATTCTTTTGTATTCATGTTTTAGAGCATAAGTACAGCCTTGGCCAAAGATATTAGGCATTTATTTAGAAAACAAATAATTTATAAAAAAATACCGTAAATCAATTTTTCAATTAAAACCATACATAAAGCTTAATAAAGTGCCTAATATTTTTCAAGACTGTATTAGGTTATATAAAATAAATATTAGAAATTATTTTTTACTGTTTAATAAATAATTTATGTGTAATATAAATGATTCAAATATCACATTTGTAACTTTTATTTATTTACTTAAAAGTGTAAAATTATTGAACAAAAAACATTCCACATTTCAGTTATTCATAGGTCAAAATAATGAACTCCATTTCGAATTTGTTTTTAAATTTTATTGCCAAAATACTTTATTGATGCTTTGACATTAAAATTTTAAAAAATTTGAAATGGTGTTCATCATTTTGGTCTATGAATGGCTCATTTGACCATTTTATCGACCGAGTAGGAGAATCCTATAGAATGCAATTTAGTTCTCAAAATTGTATCTATTCGCCCAGATGGCGCAGAAATAGGATTTTATTTTTTCCAAGAGCATGTCCAATTGTCCATACCCTGTAATGTAGACGTTGTACGTCAATGTGTATGTAATCTAACTATTCAAGATGGCATCTGCGGAACAGGTCGGCCTCAACAAAACATGGGAATTATCGCTTTACGAATTACATCGCACTCCACAAGACGCGATCACCGACAACACAGAGATTGCGGTCAGTCCGCGGAGTTTGCACAGCGAGCTCATGTGCCCCATTTGCTTGGATATGCTGAAGAAGACGATGACCACCAAGGAGTGCCTCCACCGTTTTTGTTCCGACTGTATTATCACGGCTTTACGGAGCGGTAACAAAGTATGTGCTTGACATAATACAACAAACTTATATCTGCAATGTTTGCGGATAATACTAGCCCATATTTTTTCTACAAGATGTAATGTTATTTATCTGTCAATTTGTGTATGTATGTACGATATAAAATGTATATGCGATCTGTCATTCAATTTTTGTTTATTTGGAAAGTAATACTTTCGATGCAACTATATTTTATTTATCGTAGCATGAACTTTCTATTCGCATTGATTGGCTACTAAATAGAGATTTTTAAAAACCCAAGAACATGTGTATGCAGTGATTACCCTATAATCACATACACAATCAACATATTTGAAAACTTTGTCGTATGATAAATGAAATATTAATTAGTCTGAAGCCATGCAACAAAATTATATATACTTACTGCAAGAATTTTATATATCTTCAATAAAAATAAATACTGTTTTTTTACAAGTAGTAGTATTCTATATTGAAATACAAGGAATTTGTTTGTGTTATGAATATAATGAATTGTTTTATAATTTTGCATTGTTATAGGAATGTCCTACATGCAGGAAAAAATTGGTTTCTAAGAGATCTCTCAGACCGGATCCAAACTTTGATTTGCTAATCTCAAAAATCTATCCTAGCAGAGATGAATATGAGGCTCATCAGGAACGAGTTTTGGCTAAACTGAATAAGTCACATTCACAAGCTGCACTTGTTAACTCTATTACAGAAGGTATTAAGTTACAAAGTCAGAATCGTCCACAGCGTTCCAGAAAGAATGCTAACGAATCTGAAAATGCAAGCAATGCAACATCTTATAACAATACACCAAATATTAGTGCACCTACAACACCAAATCCATCTACAAATGTAGCAAATCAAAGTGATTCCTCTCAAAGTGCGACAGGACCTTTAAATAGTGGAGGTATGATTAATTTTACGAATAACCAATATTGTTTTTCAATTTATATATAACTGCAATTTCTACTGAGTTTACATCAGCTTGTATAAACTTGTAATTTTTTATTACATCAGTTATTTTTATGTACATTTATTTAGGAACAACATCTAGAAACTCTACCACACCATCGCCAAATCCTGCAAATCAAATCTCAAAACCATCAAAACGGCAGAAAAGTCTACAAAATTCTGAGAATGATTCTTCTAGTGCAGAAGCCGAGACTGGCGGTGGTGATTCTATGGTTGACACAGAAGGTGAAGGTCCTAGCGAACCATTGATGCTTAACGAAATTGAACTTGTCTTTAAACCACATCCTACAGAAATGGCAGGTGATAATTCTTTAATAAAAGCATTGAAAGAAAACAGTATTCGCTATATAAAAACAACAGCAAATGCCACAGGTAAGATATCTCGCAAACATGCAATTAAAAAAGAAAAAAATTGTTTACTTGAAGAAGCTAATTATTATAAATATATTGGGTCATCTAAAAAATATCCGCGGTTTTTTGTCATTAGATAGTGTTGATGATCAACACGTCTAGTGACAAAAAACCGCGGATACTTTTTAGATGACCCAATATATACATTAAATTATAAAATGGAAAAACAACCTTTCAGGAATAACAAATTGTTTGTTTTTACAGTGGACCATTTAAGTAAATATCTAGCAATGCGTTTAACATTGGATTTGGATACTGAATTATCAGAATCAGATAGGCTATTAAATTTTTGTATCTATATTGCACCTTCACCTGGGCAGCTTGTGGTATTAAGTGGCTCACAAACGTTACGACAAGTGAACGATAAATTCTGGCGTGTCAATCGACCTTTGGAAATGTATTACTCATGGAAGAAGACCTAGGGAAGGCCTCAAAAATATTTATCAGATGGGAATTAATTACGTCATGTTTTGGAGAAAGGAATGAATTGTCATTCATATTATATGGAATACAGTAGAATATATCAAATATGAACAATACATATTGTTGTATTGTACTGTATTCAATTTGATTTAATATTAAGGTAATATTTATAAAATCATCGACAATGGTGCAATTTTTACATCTTTAAAGCCGGTTGCCAGTAATGGTTTCATGTAAAAATTAAAAAGGCAACTAAAACTTTATTAAACTGTGTGATTTTAACGCCATTGTACATCCCGAATTGCAATTACCATTTCACACTATACAAAATAATATCTACAAAAAAGTTTTATAAAAGATGTATATGTTACATTCACATATATTCATACATGTTCCATCATTTAATGATTTTAAGAATCGTCAATTTATTTATTTAAATGATTTTTAATCACGTGGACCATGCTGTATAGTTTGCAGGAAAAAAATAAATCTATGTAAATACGAATACATACGCATATTTTTCTCTAGTTTTAGTTTTTTCCTGTATGTATTTCTAGATTCTTTAAACTTGTTTTTTTTTAATAACTTTTTTTTAACTCTGTATATTGCACATGCACACATATATGCATAATTTGTATTTGTATTTAAATTACAATCAGTGACATAAGAGCGTAATCAGAAGATTTAGAAGTTTCTCTAAAAGAAATTGAATATATTAGAAATTAAGAAGAAAATTAACGACGACAGAATTAAATGTCAAATAAATATTAAAAATTTGTTTTATTGTTATATTTTAAAAATACATTACGTTTACTAAAATGCATTTATTTAATCCAGCCGTTTGATATTTGATTATAGTTTGTGATTGAAATATATACTTACCACGTAATTTTTTATCAAAGTTTTAGATAAAAATACCTAAATCTGAAAATACCAAGCAATAACTGTTTCAAAATCAATATTTATGACAAACTATAATCAATAATAATGATTAAGCATCATATTAAGTAAATGCATTTTTTAAATAAATACAATGTTTTTAAAATATAACCTAATACTTTAAGATTCGGTTTCTTTCAGGAAACTGCTAACAACATTCTTGTACCACTGACTGCATATTCCGAGATTTTATCCACGATTAGTTGAGGCAATATAATATATGAAAATCTTTGAAATATTATATTGCCTTATTATTGAAACTATCATGCTATGTTTGCATTTACATGCTTATTCCTTTGGCGAATAAATATAACTTATTGATAAAGAAAATTAACGACGACAGAATTAAATGTCAAATAAATATTAAAAATTTGTTTTATTGTTTTGAATCGCTACTTTGTACGATTTATAATTAAAGTCACAGTTGAACATACTCCTCGAGTCATCGATATAGGATTCGCTTTTTACAAAACAAGCACATCTATCCAACGCGATTCTGACATCCCTATTTGGTAATTGGATGCTTTCGTTAAAGATACATGGAATTCGTCTTAACGCTGGCAGACGAAATAATCGATAAGTACCACCCTATCGTGCATCTCCCCTTGGATTTTCATTGAAGTGAAAACAATACGTATGCCAGTCTTTTGATAACATTGGCTTTTTTTTTCAGAAACAAGCTTCACACGATAATTTTTTTATTATATTAATTTAAACTTTATCTGTTCGTACTAGAAATATTAATTTCAGTTTATGCGGATTTCCTTTGTTTATATTATATACTATATCTCATTATTACATATCAGAAATTTTGTATAAGGAAATCAATCAGAAAACCAAAAAATTAAATACAATCATAATTTCCAACATTGAGAATTTCCGTTATTTATCACTTAAAACTTAGATTAACTATGTTTTCACGTATATCTTTATGATTCTAGACCTAATTAATTATTCCAGCAGCGGGATTCATAATAGTCCGGCAACGCTTAATTACGACATAACATCATGCAAACTAATGACCACAGCTCTTAATTAGCACGCCAGAATGAATACTGAAATGAATTCTGTCTCGCGATTTTGCAACTTGGATAATACTCGATAACTGAACCGTTATAACATTAATTACTATGTTTTTTTAGAAAGAAGGATAGATTATTTATGATTATATCAAATGTTGTAACAAATAACGATTTCGAAAGAAGTTTTTTTTTAATTAATCTTGATTGATAAAGTCGAAATCGATAAAGTAGAAATTTTAATTCCATAAAAAATAATATGATTTCATTTGCGCAAATATTGTTTAATTACAGCTATTATAAATCTTTCTATATTAATAAATATCATATTGACTGAAACAAATTCTTCAAATGTTTATGCTTTTAGTTGAGCAATAGGATTTGAGAATACTAATGATAGCTTATAAGGCTCCTTGTACCAGAGTGGATAATCCGAAGAACTTTGAGTTCCGTTAGGAATTGAATTTTTAGGTGGAAGTTGATTCAATTTAAAGTTGGGTGGCTCTACTGTCTTCTTTAAAAGAACCGATACTTGTCGCATGTAATCTTTCATGTTAGTTGCTTTTTCCAATCTGACAAAGAAAAATTTTCAGTTCAAAAAAGTTTTTTTCTCGAAATTTACAAATATTTTTTATTATTACTTTTAGATTTTTTTTACCTATGTACCATTTGCCTAGTAAACTCTAATCGATGTGGTCTCTTAATCATCGCTGTTTTTTCTTTTGTAAAATCATTATTCCATTGATTATTGGAATATACTTTTTCTACATCATTCCAAAGACCATAAAAATGTCCAAAATGTATTGCTGCATTTTTAGGCGCTTCTGTGATAAATTGTGGGTATTCGACCATCATAGATGATTTGTAATTTATGTTTGATACTGATGAAATGGTTGGGGATATACATTTTGACTTCCTGATAGAGCATCTGAAAGAAAAATTAAAAAGTAAATTATAAAATTAAATAAAATTTTATATATTTATATAATATGAATAAAATATATTTTAAATTGTGTAATAAAACATTATATGTTATTATTATAAATGATAGTTTTGTTCACACATTTCATGATTTCATCATCGTTTATATTACTCACGCAGTGCTGTTGACGTTTGATGTTGATAAGGAGAGGTTATTAGATTCTATTGCTGTTTCACTGTAATGGTTTCTAGACTTTTTTTTACGCGATTTGATTTTGTGTTGTTTGAACATTTTATTAATAAATTATTGGAATATATTATTTAGTAAATTAGAAGTCACTTGGAAATTTTAATAAATTGAATATTTTGTTAAGATAATCGTGTTGAGATACCCGAAAATTTTTGTTTTGTTTATCAATTATGATCGTATTTAATAATCCATTTGATTAAAAAAAGATACATAGAGTAAATTGTATACAAGATATTTCTCAAATACTGTCTGATATTTTAAAAGAATTTATCTATGAAAAAGATTTATATATTTATATTTTTAAAATTTTTATGTATATCATAAATAATACTTCAGTCATGTAAAATTTTTTACTATACACTGTATAATTTCTGATTCTTTCAAACGTTGTATTACGTCCTTCAGATTTATAATTTTTAAACTGCAACTGATTTTTTTGCTGGGTCTCATAGATTAATGTATATTGTTAAATTTTTTTTAAAGACTCGAAAGATTGGAAATTCTTATATAAATATACATATAATTTTTACATCTATTCAAAATTGCTTGAAATGAATAAATTTTTTTAGGTCAAAATTAAAAAATATATATAAATTTATACAATGTAATGAAAAACGGCGAAATCTGTTTAAAATTACATAGTATTTATTTAAACATAGTAAAATTTATAAGTGAAGGAACTCACAGGATTGCGACAATCAGTTTTTCAAATGAAACTTCGGCCACCTTCGGTACTTACCGACGTACTTCGTGCAACTCCACTCACGTACTCGTTCTGTCTGGTGTCAGCGAGAGTCCAGCGGATTGGAATCCAGTCGTTGTCGCGCGTTTGTTTCGTTTACACCGGATTTGTGACGATTTAGTGTTTCAGTGCAAATTTTGCAAATATATTCATTGAAACTTCACTTTTGCGCAATATCAACACAGTACATCAATATCATTGTGAGCTTCCTTCATAAAATCGCTGAAAAATATGTGTAAAGAATTTAGGTAAGATTTTCTCTTTTAATTTAATTTAAAACGTTACCCTAAGATTATCTTTTAATCCAAAGTAAAATTTTTCTTTTTGTCTATTTTCTTAAAGTATTACTTTAATTTACTCAAATATTGATACATTTCATACGATATATCGTATGAAGAATTCTGAAAAGTTATTTGTAAATTATTTTCTTGTCATGTATAATATTTATGTATGAAAGAAATTTATAAAGGGGGACAATAATTAATTTAATTATAACTGACGATATTTATCGTCAGCTTGTTTGCTGGATCAGAATAAAATGGGTTTTCTAAAAACACGATCTTTCCAACTGTATAATTTTATATATTTTATGTTACCAATAATATTCTCAGAATTATATTCATTATTGGCACTTTGAGTGACGTTCCCCATATCGTATACCTCTCTAAAGCACGTTCCAAGCGTACTCAATGTAAACGTCATGAACACTTCCTGCTACACCTAGATTTCACGTATTTATTACGTATTGTTTGTACAAAGGTTTAATACTCACGTTTTGATACATATATATAAAATTTCTACTCGCCATAGATTTTTATATGCAATCCATAATTTGGAAATCTTTTAAAATATACAGTTTACAATAAAAATCTTTCAATTTTTTCTTTTTGAAAACTAAATATATATATGTGTAAATTCAGGAACAATTCGAGGCACGGCCAGTCTTTTAATTAATTCTGCTTGGAATTGAAATTGACAGTCAAACGCACGTGGCATTCGCGCATTGATAGAGTTTGAATCTCAGTAAATAACTGCAAAAAAAAAACAGACCTAGCACACATTTACTGCCTATTCGTTCGGAATTTCGGCATTTTGCTGCGATGCGGAGGATATTGGAAAACCCATAAACGATGTATGCGTACACGATGAAGTAAGTTTACCCAGACCAGACGCACCTCCGATATCCGATAAATTTTAATACAGTAATAATTCCGACGTATCCCATCGCGCGCAATATTGACTTTCCGCCTCTTTGGCCGGACTCCGCTCGTTCTCTCTCCTCACCCCGTTTCCGTCTCGCTTATTCTTGTTCATTTCATCATTTTTTCTCTCTTCCTTTTTATCTTTATTGCGCCTGGCTCTGCTGCATTCTTTTTCTTTGGGCTTTAGGCAACGAGACAGATGGTTACTTTCAGCTTTTATTGTACGATATAACGCCCTAATGTAACAATTATATTTATTAAGGCGTTAATTTTTCATCTTATATATTTAAAAGTTGAAAAAAGTCATTGCCAAATATCTTATCGAATTAAATGTCACTTTCAATGTTGAATTATTATGTTAGACGTTAGATTGCGTAGAATAACGTCGAAAATATATCGGTGTATGTCGATATTAACTTGGAATGGAATCAGGCAAACGCAAGAAAGTATTGATCGGGACTGTTTGCTGTAAGGCTTTCGAATTACACGATGGGTAAATCGTCATTATAAGCTTCCATCTTTTTTTTTTTTTTGCGCCACCCTTACACGTAGATCGGAGACCTAGCGATCGTATTTTCAATTACATCACTGACCGCATCATCGATCAGTCCGTCATGGTCCGATGCTCGCAGCCTTAATAAAGCGTGGTGACGGTCAATAAACGTAGTTTGGCGGTTTGATATCGATACAATGTAGTATCTCAAGTGAGATCGTGCTTCAATGCTTCTCGAATAACGGTACGTATATATCAAGAAGAAATGTAAAAAAGTGATTACGAATGTACCGCTGGGATAACACAAATAAAAGAAGAGAAAAGAAAAATCGACCGCGTATATTTTTTACGTATTATTTACATTTATTTAGAAATTTAGAAAAAGTTCGAATTTATAACATTTTTTTTGTAATAAACAATTAAATACAAATGCAAAAAACTTTAATACACGTATCATACATTTTTATCCACTTTTCAGTTATTAAATGTTAATGTATGGTATATGTATTAAAGTTTTTTTTACACTTGCAGGAAATAATCACATGCAAGTATCTTTTGTACTTAATTATTTATACAAAAATGTTGTATGACGTCACGCTATATATATTAGGTGCGCAACTAAGTTCTCGCTGTTATTTTGATGCATTTTCATCAAAATAACAGCGAGAACTTAGTTGCGCACCTAATATATATATATAGCGTGACGTCGCGCCGTTTGAAACTAATATCTGACGAGAACTACATGCTTTATATCGGCGCGACGAATTTCCGAGAGGCCATGTAATTTGGCATTATGAGGGTACAAGTGCATTTTTCCTTTTTGTTAGGGGTTGTCCACGCGCTAATACACACTCGCTCGTGTCATTTTTCTCCGTGCAGGCAATCGCCGGTATAAGGGCACCATCCGCTTCGTGTGTTAATCACCGACTACAGAGGGTGGAAAAGACTATAGGCGTCGTTGCGAGGGGGAAAAATGAGCGAAAGAAGGAAGGTGATGCAAGTGCATAGACCCAAAGAAACTCCTACGAGCGCGTTCTAAACATGCAGAGCGCGTTCATTTTTCTTTTCGTGTGCATGTCAAGGGCGTAAACATCTCCGTAGTGGATTATTATACGAACGATGGAAACTTTTCGCGATGACAAGTTTTTCTCTGTAATTTAGTACCTGCTCTTAATTACCTTCACGTTTCTTTATTTAAGAACACGAATGGATTTCGGGCAAGATGGCTATGCGATGTGTAATAGATTATATATACTGATACACACGAATATTCTATTTAAGATGAGATAAATGTTATAAAAAGAGGTTAATTAATTTTTTCCATACACATAAAATATTAAAAAAAAACATATATGCACGAAGCAATTTTTCTTTTACAATATTCATATATATATATATATATATATATATATATATATATAGAGAGAGAGAGAGAGAGAGAGAGAGTATTTTTAATATAATTATTAATTAATCACATTATGCATAATAAGTACGAAGAAACGAGCTTATTGAAGTTTCTAAAATTTATTTAGATACAGATCTGAAAATAATTTTGAACTATCAAAATAATTGTGTACAATCTCATACATCATGAACATCTAAGGAACATCTTGAAGACTTTTCTACGCTCTAAGGATGTTTCCAGGATATATCTAGTGTCGTATAAGATGCTTAAACTAGTTGCTAGAATCTTTTTGCAGCATTATTAATAATGCTCAAGTATTCTATATATATATGTGTATAATTATTTAGATGATCTAAAAATTAGTTTCAGATCTAGCTAAATTTTTAGATAAATTTATATCAGTATTTTTAAAAACTGCCCATTAAAAACAGATATCTCGAACATCTTTATAAAAATTATATGGATATACTATATTCCTTAAATTTGTACGTATTGTGTATGAGAGAAGAAGAAATAGAACAGTTAAGACCGTTTTCAAGTTGCAGGTCTATTCGTTGGGAAATCCTTGAGTAAAAAAGAAGCGCGGCGAATAGAAATGGGGTGGCATTTCGATTGGAACGTGCGATATATTACGTGCCTGGCAAATACATATGTGCTGTCTGCGACGTATATATATATATATATATATATATATATATATATATATATATATATATATATATATATATATATATATATATATATATATATATATATATATATATATATATATATATATATATATATATATATATATATATATATATATATATATATAAGTAGACGCATAAATAAGAGTGCAAATGCGTGCTAACAGTGTAACCGATCGGAACGCAAGTAATGCGAGCACGTATATTTTTATTGATTTCA